AAAATATATGTGATATACTCTGTAATGTAACCTAACATCTCGCGTTAGTTTCACTTCTTTATCTTTATTAGCTTTAGAGATATATCACATTCAGTAATAGTCAAGCATACGGATATTTTGCTCTCTATCTCAAGGTCAAAGCGGAAGTCGGTCGCGAAAAGTACATAAATCGTGTTTGAACATCAAGTCGATATTAAAACATAAGTTTCAATATCGATTCCCATTTGGGGGCCGACTCGTCATACGTATCCGGCTAAACCCTTTGCACGCTTCAAGGATATACAAACAAATCAATGTCAATATGGTATGATTTTTAAAGTGAGGTCTACAGGAATCCATTTTGTCAATGTAGGTTAATATTCGTATAAATACCTTATAGCATACTTAATGCTGCCGCCATTTGTAATAAAGTTTAAATAAATAAACAATACATTGGTATTTTATTAAAAAATATCACTAAACATACCGTAACAAAATTAGTAAATACTAACTGATATACGGCCAGGTGCACAAACTTCCATTAAAGTTAATGGGTTGTGGCTTTAACCTCTAATGAATGTCCAAAATTTGCAAAATAGGAATGGTAATGTGGTATTACCTAAATTACCCGTAATTTGAGTGGACGTTTCTGCAACTCGCTGATTTTAAGTTATTTTATTTAATGATTAAATTATGTTGTGTTACGAAGTTTTGTATATAATTAAATTAGAATGAAGTTACTATTTAGGCACATTAATTTATTATGGGGAAAGACATCAATCAAAGTTACGAGGGACTTTGGTTTAATCAAACTAATAACTTTAATAGGAAGTTATTAATATTCACTTATGAAGTACCCTTCTTTATTATCTTATCTAAAACATGAGCAAATTTTTAATCAATTATTAAATAATCTATGTGACATATGTTATTAGGAATTTTATATACGTCGGTTTTAAAAATCGTAACATTTCAATAGATACATCAGTAATTTTTTTAATTTTTGTTTTCGTTAATATGAAAAAAGACATCTTTAATAATTTAACAAAATGTTACTGCAGGTGAAGAATTTCGAGAAAGGGAAAACACAAATCAAATTCTAATGTCGTAAATAGTTCAGTTACCGAAATCGTAGCATCGATTAGTTATAGAATAGGCCCCCCAGACATTGACCTTTGTGGAATTCGCATCCCGGTTCCCGCAGACAGGGACGCAATTACTTTCGTATAGTTCCGAGAATCAAAAACTTCGAATCAAGAGGTAAAAATATAAACAAGTCAACCAAGAAGCGTATGTTACAATAGATATTAGTTTTACGCTTTTCGGGTCTTTAAAGAAACGTAGATATAACCATTAATTGTGGAATCAACCTTCATATGCGCTTTAAAATTAGACAAAGGCATAATGTAAATGATCCAGCGTGATTGACGCTCCTTTCAAAATGAATAATTCAATACGGAAGTCATTGCTGATATCGAGACTCTTTGCAATTCAAAAAGAGGTTTGACAAATGTAAACAGTTTTTTATCTAAAGGAAAAATCCTACATCTACAGGATATCCGTATCCGACGCTAAATTAGAATTTTTTACAAAAAAAAATCTTATTAAACTTAATACGATACTTTACAGAATCATTGCCACGTTTATCCAAAAAGGCAACAGGGGGTTCCCCTGTTGGAATCTGTTTTTAATCAATACTTTTATGGCATATGAAAATGGAATATTATCTATGAAATTAGAAACATTTACTTTCAGAAATATAATAAACTAACTATTTCGTAAATTATAGCCTATGTATACCCGTGTATGATGTAGTTACACGTAGGGGAAAGAATTTTTAAAAACGATGAAGTTATTTTTGGAGCATGTTCAATACATACAAACAATCACACCTGTCCTCTTTGTAATATTAGTATAGATAATGATAACCCAAATAATTGTAAACTGTGTAACAAAGTTCTCATTCTAGTTATTCTATGCATAAAATATTTTAATAGGAATTGAAATAAAAACATCTAATTATTAATCTGTTTAAACTTTATTCAAATATTATTTTTTTTATAAGTACACCTTCCGTGAACGATCACATCATTTTACTGGCACTACCCAAATGGTGTTGCCCGAATTGAACTATAAAATAAATTTATTTTTTTAACAAAACAATAAAGTAATTTTAGCTCCCGTCATAATACCACCGTCATGAATAACGACGGCATAAGGTGAGCTGAGTTATAGCTTGACTCGACTAAAGCATATTTTGAATTCATGGATACTACTACTTTATTAGAAATTGTATTATTATGGACGATATTTATTGTTAGCGCAAATTTGCTTGCGTAGGTATTATACCTCCTTACAAAACATTGTCGGCGCAAAGTCCTCTTCTATTTATAGGGCTTTAAAAATTGGATTAGTCAATGCTTCTATTAAAAATAGCATCATCGACATGTTCGTATAATACAATAAGGTAATTCTAAAATTAACTTTTGTGACTAGAAGCCTCGTGTTTGCTTCGAAGATGTATCGTGACTAAAATAAATTCGATAGCAATGCAACTCCATTTTCGGAGGTTTATAATTAATTTTGAAAGGATACGATTAATTAATCGGGTAGTTATTAAAGCGTTTTTGTGTTTAGACTTCCTCCGATACGATGGAATTACTAACACTACAATGAAAAGTAATAATGAACAAATCTTACTAAAATTGTAAATGTGAAATTATTTATTATTTGTTTCAGCAGAAATAATTACAGGGATTTGCCATATGAGAGAGCTAATAATATACATTATAAATAAAAAACTAATTTTGAGAAATTTTCAAACAGCAACACATTCTCTTTCTTTTTATTGTTAGTTATTTTTTGAATATATAGATTGTCTCTTTTTAGGTTTAGTGTTAACAAAATAATGCCACTTCAATGGCGAGTCAATAATCGCATTTTCCCACTGCTTTGTTCATCTAACGCCAAATATTATTAGAGCAACAACGTTTTGGTGAATCAATGATTAGTTATTTTGCGATATCGTGACAAAACTGTCTTTTTTTTTAAAGACACTATTCACACTTTATAATTACGTTGACATTTTTATCTATTGTTTATTAGATTTAGTTTGTTTCTATAAAAAATAATGAGGTTCGAAAATTATATAGTAAAAAGGAAAGTAATGTTTTTATCACAATGAAAAATTTTATCTACGCCGATTTTAATATTCTTAATGTGGACTTTATGTCCGTTTTTTAAGGTATTAATAAAATAAACGATTCTGTACAGGTATAAAAAGATCGTAAACCATTTGGCAAAGAATTTCATTACAATTAAAGGATTCAAAGAATGTTTCAAATGAAATAGGTTTCGTTAATCTGACAGTGTAATTTCAACAAGACGTTTATTAATTTGATTCATTTAAATCACTTTAATGTAAAATTTAGAAATTATATCCAGCCTCTTAATTTATAATTACAAGATTTCAACTAAATGTCAACAACGTTTTATGTAAATATGCTTGTTTCCAAAATTCTACTAATAAAGAAATACTCTGAATGAGATTAGTCTAAAAATATCCATGTAAAATTTTATTAGGTATTTTATAACGAATAAAATGTCTCATGATTCATAAAAAATAGCGCCATAAAGAAATGTCTAAACCTAGTGTAATTTTAATAAATATTATTAAAAAAACAAACTCAAAAGACTTGATTCCCAGTTTAAATAATTAAATGAAAAGGAGATAGAAGGGAATCTGTGCAGATATACAACTCGTAAAATATGAAGGGCACTTATAAAATGTAACCATTTCTATTAGCCTTGTTAGCAAACATTTTATTTTATAATAACACTGGCTCGTAAAAGACTACACATTCGTTTCACTATAACGTGTAGCTCTTACCGCTGAACTGTGATATTTAACAGACCAAAAGGAATGGAATGTGGCATTTGGTTTTATTTTTTACATTTTAGGTAAATAAATTAAACGTATCCTCCCATTATAGAGAGAGATAATAAAGACTTTTCAAAGATTTTGTGGAACTTAGCGACAGTCTTTGTTTGATTGGTCCATCGCCAGGGCCAGGGCCTGTTGTACGCGGATGAAATTTTGTAAAATAACGAATCGTTTTTCTTATAATTTTGTAAAAATCATTTTCGTGGATATTATTTCTGCCTCAGACGCAGTATCAAATACTGCCTTTGTTGCATCATAGATTATCTAAAAATGCATTTCTTACCACTGTAAGATCTTACCGGCTTTCATATGATGTATTCAAAGCATGTTGGAATACGTTGTCATCAAAGCTGGCAAAAATATCTTCACTTTAAGTCATTAGATAATTGTAAATCAGGTTTAATATTATTTATTCAAAAAAGCTTATTTGAATAACAATATTTTAATGAAGCACTTTTAAATCGTCTATGAGTTTTCTAGTTGCCATCTCTTCATTACGCTTTTTGGATAATAAAAGGAACCATATACACTTATTTTAAGTATTCCTCCTTTTTTTCTATTTAAAGACTCTTTTCTTTTGATCTTGTGCATATAAATAAAATAAAAGAAAAATTATATCAATACATATGAAATACTTTTTTGTCTAATGTAGAAAGCGGATCAGTAAAATTGACAGTTTTAGTTCACTTCAAGAATCTTTTGCAAGACCTGGTCATACTTATGATGGGTATGACCAGGTCTTGCAAAAGATTCTGGTCATGATGGGTGATACTTATCAGCGGTAATGGGTTAATAATTTAGACGTGCATAAAGTTATAAGAATCGGGTCCAATATTTTCTTTATTAGTGCTATATATTAAATAGTTGAATAAGTTCAAATGGTTAAATATTTAAATTCAATATCATTTCTTAAGCTGTTGCAAGCACTTGCGAAAGTCGAGAGCTTTGCCATCGTTTGCAAATCTACGGCGGGAGACCTTGTACTGAGAAGAACCGGCAAGAAATTAGTGTTTCTATATGGTAGAATCAACGGTATGATGCGATATGGTGATTATGATACTACTGTCCTTTGTTTCAGATATGAACATCACGATGCATCTAGCGGTCGTAGCTGCGGTGTGCCTCTGCTTAGCTGATGCGGGGCCTGAAGTGAGGGTAGCCCGAGCCAAGCAGCGTCCGACGCGTGGCTTTAAGAACGTCGAGATGATGACGGCACGAGGCTTCGGGAAACGAGACAGGCCTACCACTAGGGCTGAGCGTGAGTCAACTAAAAAAATCAATCTAATTTTTAATATAAACATTAAAATAATGTATATTTTTCAGGATAGAGAAAATAATCATCTGTGCAACCGTTACTTATTTCAGGCCCTTATAAGAAATTTGGTTAGACTGTCAAGTCAGGAGATTAAATGCTTAACTAGTTTGAAATATAAACACCGAATATTTTATTGAAGACTGGGTAGGCATTTGATCGTTACTAGTCGTAACAGTGGAACTAAGGCAACAAATCTTGCAATATCAACCCTGGGTGTGAAAGTTGCTAGATATCATAGCTTCACGGTTATAGCTAAGAACTTCCGCAAAATAACTCAAGAGCCTTTTCAATACGCTACTAGCCGTGCTAAGATAGTACCTGCCTGCACAGAAGATGTGCCTTGTGAAAATTTCTGCACACCTTCGATGTCACGCATCTATTTTCTTACATACCTTACGTTCAATTTGGTCTCTGGTTAAGAATATTTGATCCACCATTGTAATGTGACTTCCTAAAACATATATTGATGTGTAAAAGTTAAAGTAGGTCCAATCGCGGTATTCAGCGTCTTGTCTGTAGAGTTTTGGTAGCAAAAAGTAAGAGCGAGAAAGCAATAATTTATACCTTAAATGATAAGTAGTGGTTTATTCGCAAAACAAATAACTGCTTTGTCGTCCTTACATACAAAACTATTGACAGGGCACCGCCGACGGCCGTTATTACAATACATCAATTTAGTTTTGTGAAATCTGTAATTTACTAGATATAATTGTCAACATTACATTTAGTACTGCAATTACAGTGTTAACTCATCACTCGTCTCATTTACGTATCTTGATCATGCTCTAACAAATCTTATCATCATCCCTTTATCTTATCAGGCAGATCACTGTCTTACCCAAAAAGTGTTGAACATTAACCCTATTCAAATTCATGTATACGTAGAATTTTGATCCTTACTATTCTTTGATCTAATTTCACTTTCATGTGCAATATAGAAAGAGAATGTTTACAATGTGAAATACATATATTTCAGTGGCAAGAATTCTGTATTTAAAACAAAGCAATAAATTAAATGTACACTCGAAATTGTAAAATTTATACAGATTATATAAAGCATAACTCTATAAGGAAAATTTTGAAGCTTTTAATAACGTGACATTGTTATGATCCAAAGGGCTTTATTTTAAATCGTGGTGAAATAATGTACTTTTTAATTCCGTCATTCGAAATTAAAGTCTCTTTGCCGGATTTTCTGACCCAAAAACTTCATTAACAATTTACTTTGTGGTTGTAATATTTTTATTTTGCCATAATCAAATATTTTATTCGATTTTAAAATCTACAATAATTTTCTTCGTAAATACTAGGTAAAGAATAGTTAACTTCATAAGTAATATAAGAAGTCTTTGTATTCAGTCCCAGATGCAACAAGTAAAGCTTGCCTGAGCTCTCTATTCACTATGAGAAGCAACAAAAAGCTCCTGTAAGCTCGTAAAATATAACAACTCAAACTGTAATAAGATTTGATATTTGTGGAAAGATACAAGCAAAGAACTATGGGAAGTCTTATTAATGGACAAATTGGAATATTGGTTTCGTTAGACCTTGTTCAGAACTGGCGAATCCACCAAAAATTCAGATGCAGTTTCAATTTCAATGCTGCTCAAGTTTTATTTGTTTATAACACGATTCCTTGTCAACCAGTAATGTATAATGGAACGGTTCTTCTATCAGTGGTAGATTGATAGATAACTCTTTATTGTTAACAATACACTATTTACAGAAACAAACATATAGTAGACTTAATTCGATTGCATAACAATTGACGGCCTTATTGTTTGAAGCAATTTCAAAGCGTGTTCTGACCAGGGATTTAGAACAACTACGATAATAGTTCCGACGAATACTATAAATGTTCCCAAATCTAGGAGCCTTGCTTATATTTAAATGCTATGCTAATGCCGTTATTCAAATTGAGACGCTTATATACATCGACAGCACGTTAGGTTAATAAAATGGTCAAATTTCTCAATTCTACTTAAAGTAAAAGTGATAGAAAATGTTCTTGATTTTGTTATAAACTGATATAAGTATATAAGTACTGTGTATAAGTATACTCTTCAATTTCTTTTACTGTAAAAGCATCGCATTCATGATTTTATTACTACAATACCTAATTTATTACATTGATTTTAATTTTAAATGAAACAATTTATTAGTATTGAGAATCCCATCTTGAGCACTCGAAATGGTTGGATTTTTAAATAATTTTCTGGGAGATAAGGAATAAATATCCTATGGTAAGGTCCCAGTAGTGTATATCGCAAAAAAGTTTACCGTTTACTAACTCTAACGTCTCGAAAGTTTGAATAACCGCTATAATGGCATGTAAAATTAGTTATAAAACAGTATTTTCGAGCACTTTTTCCCTTGCATTTAAAATTTTAAATGTTAATGTTGTATTCAAGCTTTTAGTCCTAAATTATGAAAATTGTTCTATGAAGTCCATTCGTTTATGTTAATTGTACTTTTGGATTGCAAAGGGCGCTGTTTCCTTGCGAATTCGCCGACTTTAAAATACTTTTGTTTATTTTAGATTTATTACTGTTCTAACAAAGTTTATTTGTCGTAATATTAATAGACGTTAACAATAAAAATCGAGTTTTTACTTAATATTAAATATCGAGAGCAAACTAATCAAAGAAGTGACAAATCAGATTAATCAATTAGAACACGAACTCTGCATAACGAATTTCTTCTTTTAATAGCGTAAAAGTACGCCTTTAGCTCATATCAAACCTGTGTACCCACAGAGAAGACACCATATCTGTAATCATGTCATTTTAGGTCAGCTCAAATAAAATAAATGTGTAGAAGATTATTAGTCACAGTAATATGTTGTGCAACCATTTGTAAAACAACTTTTTTCCAATAAACAGACACGAAGATGTTTAAATATACCATTGGTTGATTTGAAACTTGACTTATGTTAGTTCTGTTTAATGTTATTTATCTCCCTATATTATATTCACTTAAAGATGAAAAATAACGATGGAAATGGTCTGGAATATTTTGGTCCAAAAACATCTTCTTACTAATTTTAACTTTACCTGAATATGGACAACGTTGATATTTAAATACTGTCGGAAAAATGCTCAACCGTTTCCCTGATTCTCGAAAGAACTCTTAAAGGTTTGTTCGGAATACGTGGAAAATGCAAACGTGCTGGAATTCAGTTCGAAATTTCCGTTTTGAAAAGACTTGAATGCAATAGATAAAGTTTGATATCCAACGCTTTAGAATAGATTTAAAATTTATTAAAATAGATCAATGAACAGAGATTAAAAAACATAATTTACTTCAAATAGTGTTTTAACCTCATCTTAAAAAAAGTAGTTTGTATAATAAGACGGTTTCTGTTCTCTTTACAGTTTTTCGAAAAATCCGTTATAACGTACAATTACCTTATTCCTCACGTACTAATTGTATTTAAACAGAAACAAATATTTGAGTGTTTATTTGTTTTTTATTGTGAAATATCCGTCATTGTTAACATCGCGCGGTCCGCGTTGTTGTCGCGAAATGCAGCAGCCAGAAAAACGGGTAATTTTTGCAGCTCATACTGAACAAAATTTTTGGTATAAGTTGTTTTATTTTATTTATAATTAAAACGAAAAATAATATGAAATATGTTTTTTACCTATTTTATACTAATAAAATAATGTATTATTTTCAAATATATTTAATTTGGTCGGTGAATTTGAATTAACAGTAACCAATTAATAATTCTAAGGCGACGTCGAAGATCAATCGTCACCAGAGAGAGCCCAACGAGGTACGCCCACGTTTAAGAGTCCCACAGTCGGGATAGCAAGGGATTTCGGCAAGAGAACCAACGACGACACGGAAGGTACAGGAACGCCCTCGCAATAAATGGGATTGAAACTCAACGAAATTGGTGTCGATGTGTGTAAAGGGACCTGACTCCCCGCTTTAAGGAAAGCTGGACATTTTTATAACGTAATGTCTTATTTGATCTGGTCATATAGGGACCCGACCGGCTGCTTTATTTGTTGAGGTATTAATATATGAAATAGCAAATAGTACGTGAAAATTATAGTATGGCTGCTGTAATTTACATTGATGTTCAATTAGCAATACGCGTTTATAATTTCGTATCAGTCCTTGGTCCAATGTAATAATTAGAACAAAATTTCATCTTAAACTAAAATTTCAAATATTACTTTCGACTGTTTGGCTGAATATTGATGAAAATAAACTCACTGTTATTCCTGTTGCGTTCGATTCAGCTGAATGGTCAGAACAGTCACCAGAATTGAGAGACCCATCTTAGGGTGCCTGGAGGCAGTGACTTTTTTAAGCATTTAATAATAATTTTTCATTAAAAGATATTTATCTGTATCAGCACTGTGAAAGCGAATTGATCAAATTTAATAATTTTTAAAAATTTTGCATTAAAGATTATCATTGTTAAATATAAAGAGCGCAATCTTAATCTAAGGGTGGAATATTATAGCTACCTTTTCAAGAAATAAGGTGTCAATTCGTATGCTTAACACAATTTCGGTTACATAAACACTATATTTCGATAACACGCATTGTAACACGCGACTGCTGGCGATGACACTGTCTGATGTGAAACTTACAAAGATAGTTGGGTATAGGATAAACGAATGGACACTGAATGAAACTGCATATTTGCTTAGCAGCCTTTATACGTTCGAATTATTTGATTGAAAAACTAATCGATGAGTCCGTGCGTCCATCTCGGTCATCCCGCGACTATTTTCTGCCAAATAAACCCAAAAAGAGATTCTAAAACGTATACAGTGCTACTAATAAAAAACTTAGTATTTATCAAAATTCATATTTTTAAACAGAAACTTACCAAAGGTTAACCTAGTACGAGTATCTACGGGAGTAATATTTACTCCTTGTAATAGAAGGTAGTAGTTTTCTTTATTCTCTGTATAATATGA